GTCTGAGCAGGACGTGGACCCCGTGCCCACCTGGCCACGGGACACAGGCCGGACCATTCGTAGAATCTCTGAAGGCGTCCAGATTCCTGAGCTGGTGCAGTAGTGATGGGGTGCACACGTGTACACAGACCCCATGGATCTGTACCTGAAGCCTTGTACCTGGTACGTCCCCACTGGGGGCATCTTACAGAGCAACTTAAAAAACGCTCAAGAATGTACCTTTGGAGAGAATGGCATTTGGGCTTCCCGCAGTCTGGCTAACGGGCAGACACACACACACAGCATGCCCCCTCCCTGGACGCCTGTCGAGCACCAGTCTCCCCAAGCCCCAGGATGCCCTCCCTGGCTGAGGCACGTTAAACTCACGAGGACTAAGAGGCCACCTGCCTTAATGAAGTGGCAGTGACCACCCAGGGTGGCCTGCCTCTGACCCCATGGGAGAAGGGGCCCCGCCCTTTGGACAGATCAGCTCACCAGGACCCCCTCTAAGAACAGGCAGTCGGCTCTGGTGCGTCTGACAACCCCTTATGCGGAAACAGGCGGAGAGCAGATGAGAGAACCACGAAACCACACTTCTACGTTTATGAACTGAGGAGGGGTCACAAGGTGCAAGGCCAGAGGGAGAGCCCGCGCCGGCTCCAGCCGACCCATGGGCTCTGGCCAGTGAGGGACCTGACGCAGCCTGGCAAACCGGAGTGGACAAGCTGGGTGCACGTGTGGCCCTGGCAAAATGGCCGCTGGTTCAAGGGCCCCCAACGTCCAGCCTCAACGACAGGTAGAGCCCGTGCCACCAGGAAGGTCGTCGGAGCTTAGGCTGGTGCCTGGCACCCCACAGCCTTGCACACATGGTCCAGTGGGGAAGTCCTGGGTACCTGGTCTCAGGAAGCCCCGGGCAGGCAGAGCTGAGCTACATGGCCAACTGGGCCCCCTGTGCCTCCCAGGGAAAGGCCTCACGGGGCCAGTGGGGCTCACCTGGCTGTGTCAGGAAACCGCCCGCAGGCTCCTACATGGCCACCCACCCGCAGCTGTTTTCCCCCAGCTCTGGGCTATAAACAAGTTGCCAGCCATTAGGTTTAATCGACTGGGTGTGGACAGGCGCTAAGTGGCCCCAGGTCTGAGTGGAAGCCCCATGCCCCTTCTCAGACCGTCTGTGGCGCAGGGAACTCCTCAGTACGGCCTCCTGGCCTTGGTCTTTGTGTCCTCCACCAGGTGACTGGGTGGGACTACGTGAAGGTGCAGTGGTGCTGCCCATGAAGGGGGCTGGATAGCTTGCTAATAACATAAATGAGGGACATGGTGCCCCTGGGGGGTGGGACCCTAATATGGGGATCAGTCAGTTTCACCATCCTGCTGGGTTTAAAACCAGCTCTCCCAGAGGGGGAAGGGGGACCCCCCTACCATCAACACAGAAGAGCCAGGAGCTGAGCATGTCCTTGGACCCTGGAGCCCTGCGCTGCGATGATGGCAGAGACAGCACGGGAACAGAACCAAGGGATGGCGTGAGACAGGGTGGTAGGCTTCCTGACCCACGAAGGGAGAAAGCTGAGTGCCTTCACGCAGGAGGCTTGCTGGCCATGTGGAGTGCCTCTTTGGCCACTTAATGTCAGCCTTGCCCAGCAGAGACCCCAAGATTCTGAAACACAGCCTGCTCCTGAGTACCAGGTCACCACCCAGGCAAAGTATGCTGATGGGGCCTCAGCTCACCCCAACCTCAGAGTCCTGGGCTAACGGGCCCCCAGGTCACCCTGACCTCAAAGTCCTGGGCTGATGGGGCCCCAGCCCACCCCGACCCTGGAGTCCTGGCCTTGCCCAGCCCCAGGTGACCCTGACCTCAAAGTCCTGGGCTGACGGGGCCCCAGGTCACCCCGACCCCTGAGTCGTGGGCTGACAGGGCCGCAGGCCACCC